AGCCCCGCCCCCACTCCTCCTCCCCAGGGAAACGTGTCTGGATGCAGCAGACTTACGGCACGTGCGCCCCAGCACCAGGCTAACTCCTGCCATTGGTGGCAACAACACCCCAACTGGGTCAGAGCATCGCGACTTTTAGATGTGTTCCCACTCCCCTAAGTCTGCCCAGGCTTCCTCTGCAGAACGTGCTGCTGGACAGATGCGAGATACTTTGCAACAGGATATCCACAAGCTGGGAACTCTCCTCTCGGCCTCTGCCCTGCGCCGGCCACCCACGCTGTGCCAGGGCGATGAGGAAGGGACCCCACGCAGTTCCCGCAGGGCAGCTGGGACGCACGGAGCTCCTGAACCACAAGGACAGGAGAAAGAGAAGCCCCCGGCGGCTGCTTGTGGCCTGTGCCATGGGCAGCTGGCTCCCTCTCCTGCTGGCCAACGCCGCAGCCCTGGTGCCGGCAGAGATCCTGAACTGTAACGCCAGGTCCGGCCAAGGAAACTGAGGCTCAGCCACAGAGAGGTTTCTAGTGCTTTGTGGGCCAGGGCAGCTGCATGGAGCTAATCCGACAGAGAAGCCCCCTTGGCCCTGGCAGAGGGTTGGTGGCCTCCAACCCAAGGGCATTTGCAGCTGAGGCGTGAGGCTTAGATGAAAACAGAGGCCCTGCCCAAGGTAGCTGGGGAGTTGCCTGCTCTGGGTGTGGCACGGCCGGGGCCCCGGGCTTAGCACAGGGGCTTGGAATCAGGCCCAGCTCCGGCAGGGAATGGGGTTGGCCCCTGGCTCTGTTCGGTGGCCCTAGAGAACAGTCACGCAGCAGGCTGCTCGGTGCTGCTCCGCCCCGGCTGCCTGCTCCGTTTGTCCTTGGGCGCGTCTCTGCCACTCTGTGCCCTGGCCCTGGCTGGAGAGTGGGGTATTCTGAGCTGTGATGCTGGATTACTCGATGGGTGCAAAGCACTCTGGGATACTAGGCTGAAAGGGCCCGGAGAAGGCTTCCTGGGATCGTGTCCCACACAGGTTCAGGTCGCTTGGCGCGCGCTTGTCTGCGTTGCTGCGCCAGCCTCCTTGGCGCGCCGCCCTGGTCTGTTTCACACCCCTGGCTGGCAGGCGATTCCGGGTGCAGCGGTCTGGCCGCAGAACACAGCAGCGTGCTCCGGACGCCAGGTCTCCGCAGAGCTGCCGTGCAGAGGTCTGGCCGCAGAACACAGCGGCATGCTCCGGACGCCAGGTCTCCGCAGAGCTGCCGTGCAGAGGTCTGGCCGCAGAACACAGCGGCATGCTCCGGACGCCAGGTCTCCGCAGAGCTGCCGTGCAGAGGTCTGGCCGCAGAACACAGCGGCATGCTCCGGACGCCAGGTCTCCGCAGAGCTGCCGTGCAGAGGTCTGGCCGCAGAACACAGCGGCATGCTCCGGACGCCAGGTCTCCGCAGAGCTGCCGTGCAGAGGTCTGGCCGCAGAACACAGCGGCATGCTCCGGACGCCAGGTCTCCGCAGAGCTGCCGTGCAGAGGTCTGGCCGCAGAACACAGCGGCATGCTCCGGACGCCAGGTCTCCGCAGAGCTGCCGTGCAGAGGTCTGGCCGCAGAACACAGCGGCATGCTCCGGACGCCAGGTCTCCGCAGAGCTGCCGTGCAGAGGTCTGGCCGCAGAACACAGCGGCATGCTCCGGACGCCAGGTCTCCGCAGAGCTGCCGTGCAGAGGTCTGGCCGCAGAACACAGCGGCATGCTCCGGACGCCAGGTCTCCGCAGAGCTGCCGTGCAGAGGTCTGGCCGCAGAACACAGCGGCATGCTCCGGACGCCAGGTCTCCGCAGAGCTGCCGTGCAGAGGTCTGGCCGCAGAACACAGCGGCATGCTCCGGACGCCAGGTCTCCGCAGAGCTGCCGTGCAGAGGTCTGGCCGCAGAACACAGCGGCATGCTCCGGACGCCAGGTCTCCGCAGAGCTGCCGTGCAGAGGTCTGGCCGCAGAACACAGCGGCATGCTCCGGACGCCAGGTCTCCGCAGAGCTGCCGTGCAGAGGTCTGGCCGCAGAACACAGCGGCATGCTCCGGACGCCAGGTCTCCGCAGAGCTGCCGTGCAGAGGTCTGGCCGCAGAACACAGCGGCATGCTCCGGACGCCAGGTCTCCGCAGAGCTGCCGTGCAGAGGTCTGGCCGCAGAACACAGCGGCATGCTCCGGACGCCAGGTCTCCGCAGAGCTGCCGTGCAGAGGTCTGGCCGCAGAACACAGCGGCATGCTCCGGACGCCAGGTCTCCGCAGAGCTGCCGTGCAGAGGTCTGGCCGCAGAACACAGCGGCATGCTCCGGACGCCAGGTCTCCGCAGAGCTGCCGTGCAGCGGTCCTTCTCCTCCAGCAGCAGCGTCTGCGTGGGGTCCGTGCGGCGGTTCTCTGGGCAGAGCTAGTGGAGGGGCTGGAAGAACGACTGCACTGCCTGCTTGCGCCTGGGGGCAAGACAAGGCCACAACTTGCTTTTCCCTGCCCCACGTCGGATGGGTGACCGCTCCGGACGCCAGGTCTCCGCAGAGCTGCCGTGCAGCGGTCCTTCTCCTCCAGCAGCAGCGTCTGCGTGGGGTCCGTGCGGCGGTTCTCTGGGCAGAGCTAGTGGAGGGGCTGGAAGAACGACTGCACTGCCTGCTTGCGCCTGGGGGCAAGACAAGGCCACAACTTGCTTTTCCCTGCCCCACGTCGGATGGGTGACCGGTGCGCTCTGGGGGCGGGGAAAGGCTGAAACAGGCAGCCCCCCCCCCCCCCC